TCAATATACCCGCTCCCCCCCAGTAACCCCCCTCAATATACCCCCTCCCTCCCAGTAACCCCCCTCAATATACCCCCTCCCTCCCAGTAACCCCCCATCACTATGCCCCCTCCCTCCCAGAATACCCCCTTCCTCCCAGTAACCCCCTCAATATCACCCTCCCTCCCAGTAACCCCCCTCAATATACCCCCAGTAACCCCCTCAATATAACGCTCTTCAAGTATACCCCATCCTTCCCAGTAGCACTCCTCTCTCCCAATATACCCCCTCCCTCCCAGCATCCCCCCTCACTACACCCCGCTCCCTCCCAGTAACCCCCTTCCTTATCACCCCCTCCTAGTAAACCCCCTCCTTTACACTACCGCCCCCTCTCTCCCAGTATCCCCCCTCCCTTACACCATGACCGCCTCCCTCCCAATATCTCCCTTCACTACCCCCCTCCCAGTATACACCCTCACTCACACTATCACCCACCTCTCTCCCAGTATCCCCCCTCCCTCCCAATATTCCCCAGTATTTCCAAGTCCATACCAGTATTCCCCACTCACACTATCAACCCCCTCCCCCCAGTATTCCCCATCACAGTATTACCTTATCCCTTTCAGTACTACCCTCTCCCTTACACTATCACCACCCTACCTCACACTATCACCCCACCCCCTCCCAGCATTCCCCCCTCACACTATCACCCCCTCCCTCCCAGTATTTCCCCACTTACAGTATTAACCCCTCCCTCATAGTATCCTTCCTCCCACACAGTATTACCCCCTCGGCTACCCCCTTCCCTCACACTATCACCCTCACAGTATCAGTGGCGGATCCAGAGAGGGGACAATGGGGCAATTGCCCCCCCCCCCGAGTTTCCACCCTGCCGGTTAATGTAGGGCTGGCATTGTCCAAGTGCCAGCCCTGCAATGTGCCTACGGACCGGGAAGAGATATCCCTCCCCGGTCCGCAGGCACTGTGCTGGCAGCCGGCAGGGTTGAGAGGGAGAGAGGACCCGGGAGCTCAGCCTCTCTACCACGGCAACGCCCCAAATCATACACACACTACACACACTGCCCCACAAACACTGCCCCCATACACACACTACACACACTGCCCCCATACACACACTGCCCAACAAACACTGCCCCCATACACACACTACACACTCTGCCCCACAAACACTGCCCCCATACACACA